GGCTTCTGGGACACTTGCCTCCTCGGTGGGGGATGTCATATGTAGTAGTAGGGGCAGAGAGCAAAGGACAGAAGTATCTTTGCGAGAAAGGGGGGGTTAGTAATTGAACCTGGCCATCAGCAGTAAAAGAGATATAACATCTGCTCCTAAAAGGTTAATTGGACAGGTGGATGAGACAACAAACTGAGAGAGAATGTCAGAACCAACCCGCAAGTGTTTAGTTAATGGGTTGTTTCGGGGGGTACCATCAACACCTACACAAGAAACATCTGTGTCGGATAGGTAAGATGGGTCTGGCAGGTCTTGTTCTCTGAGAACACTGCTGGCTGCACCTGTTTCAACTAAAAAGGTAGTAGGATGACCCTCAACTGGTAAGACAACTGTAGCGAGAGGTCCCCCCTTGTCCCCTGTAGACACTGCCATGACAGTGGTGTTAGACACAGGGTTGCCGGTTACCTATTGTACAAGGTCTAGATGAGATTGATCAGGGCCGGTGTAGTGACGTGCAGGTGCGGTGGAGTGACTGGCCTAATGGGTCTGACGTGTAGAGCGATAATGACTGGTCGCGGGGGGTTCATCTTGTTGGAAATCATCTGTATCCTAACTACCAGGGGAAGGGTGAGCATAGCTGCGGGATGGGGGTTGAGTATCAGATGGGGAGGGCTGGTAGACAGCTTTGGGCATATTCCTGAGGTGGGTAATACGATGTATGTGCCTGAAGGTACACCTGTGGAGGTTAACCAGGTTGGAGACTACCATACGTGGGCGCAGGGGCATTGGGGTACATAGGTGGTCTAGTGATCGGCTGTCTAGGCACTCTGGGGTGTGGGCAATCTCTCCGGAAATGGCCTGGTTGGTTACAATTAAAGCATGCCCTGGTCTGAGGTCTAGGGGCGGGTGGCATGTGCTGCCATGTGCAGCTGGCAGGGTAGATGTGCGGGATATCCTGGGGGAACCGGGACGGGTCTGGTGCCAGGGCTGTAAACGGAAAACATGAGTGGATTACTTTTCTTTTAGGGTGGCTGTAGAGCAGATTCTAGGCCCTTGGCATCTAGTAGAAGAGTGTCCAAAGGAATAATTCTGTATTCGGGGCGAGAAAGCACTAAGCCTTTCCTGATGGCTTCCTTAAGGCCAGCAACAAAAGCAGCGGATAACATCTGGGTATGTGCTTTGTTATATACACTGAATCCAAGATCAGAGAAAGTTTGAGTCAACCGTGAATGATATGTTTCCACAGATTCGAGTTTGTCTTGTATAGTATCATTTATAGAAGTGGCTTGGTCAGCCAGTTTATCCTGGGCCCAAGCCCGAAGCTGTTCACAGAATGCAATACCCGACTGGAACTCCATATCGGTAGTGAGGAGAGCATTATTACAACTCCGTTCCAGAATGGGCCAATAGGCATCCCCAGCCTTGATCTCACACAGACTATACAGACCACGCCAGGCTGCTGATTATGTCTTACGAATCTGAGCAACCCTCCGGAAGAAGGGCATGGGCTGTTTCTCAGGGTCGGGGAGAGAGGTTACTAGGGTTGCAGCTTGGGACGGGTTGAAAGTAACATACATCGGTGGACCCCCTTCCACTGTTGATAGAGCAAGGATGTGGTTGGCTGGGGTGGCCTGTCTCTGGGAAACCCTATTATTCGAAGGACGGAATGGGCTAAGCCATTGCACATTGTCATCCTCGGGGGGGAACTGGGAATGGGACACCATGATAGCTGGCAATATCTAGTGAGTTAGGGGGTTGAGCGGCTGGAGCATCGGGGCCGGGAGAACCGACAGCGATGGCTTGGGGAGTAACTAACTGTTTGATAGTGGGATGGAAGCCTGATGCGGCAGGAGAAGCGCTTACAACATGAGGCTGTCCCGAAACGGTGGATTCAGTCGACCCAATGATCATGATTGGGTAACTAGGAGTTGCCATGAGGGAGGCGGGGACAGGAGCCGGACTGGGTGAGGGTGCGGGCTGAGTAGGCTGAGGGAGATGAGTGGAGCGGGCGGAGATGAGTGACGAAAGATGGAGGGAGGGACAACAGGCATGGAGGCGGGAAGAGGAGGGGAATCTGGAACGGGGACAGAAGGGGTGGCAGGGAGAGGAGAGGAAGGAGCAGGAGTAGAGGGAATAGCAAGAGAAGCAGAGAGGACGGAAATGAGTGACGAAAGCTCGAGGGAGGGAGGGACAACAGGAGTGGAGGAGGGGAATCTGAAATGGGGACAGAAGAGGTGGCGGGAAGAGGAGAGGAGAGGAAGGAGCAGGAGTAGAGGGAATAGCAAGAGAAGCAGAAAGGACGGAAATGAGTGACGAAAGATCGAGGGAGGGACAACAGGAGTGGAGGCGGGAGGAGGAGGGGAATCTGGAACGGGGACAGAAGGAGTGGTGGGGAGAGGAGAGGAAGGAGCAGGAGTAGAGGGAATAGCAAGAGAAGGGGGGATATGGCAGAGAGATGCGACGGGGAACAACGGGTGAAGGCGAGAGGGGAACAACAGGGAGAGGGGCTTCAGGGTAGGCAACACGTAAAGGTGGGAGGGGCGCAGGGATAGGAGGGATGACAGGGGGAGGTGGGAGGTGGGAGAGGGGTGATGGAGGGAGGTAGCAGAGGGACGGCATCAGTAGCGACAAGGGAAGGTGGAAGAGGGGCAGGATCAGAGGGAAGTGGGAGGGGGACCGGAGTAATGGGAAGTGTGGAGGTAGGTGGGAGAGGGACGGGATACTAATAGGATCCATCTGCCCCGAGAACGGGGTACAGAGGGGTAGGGACAGAAGGGCCTATGACAATTGGAGGTGGCGACTGGGCAGTGACTGGGGAGGCGGGGCGAGATTTATTCACGGTATTTTGGGCGCCATCATAGGGCGGGGACCGGGAAACATCAAGAGACGAATCATCATTACAGACATTTCTGTGATATACATAAATCGTTTGTCCTTCAAAATGTATTTCTTCCTCTGACCAACCCTCCCGCTTGAGTCCTCTTGCTACCCGATACCAAGCTTCCACGGCTTTCGTCAACCCATTATCCAATAACAAGCCCTCTTTATCAATAAGCAATTTCCTCCAAAACTCTGGCTGTAATCTACCACTGGGTGACATTTGAAAACCACAAATCTTTGCTATCTTCTTTATTTTTAACATATCCTCTTCTCCTGCTCTCTCTTTAACAATATCGCAAGCTAAATAGCCTTTGGAAGGTCTGGCGTGTTCTTGTCCCATGTTTACTTAACAAGGCTTTCCCTGTAAGAGGGACAGAGAGAGAGAGGAAGAAGGAATGTCTACAGTGCTCGACTGCCATGAGGAATTGATCCCCGTGCGTCTTCCCTCCACGTAGACTAGTCACAGGATCCGCCCACCCGAGATGGTGGCCACAGATCTGAGTGGGCGAGCGTGGGTAACTAACACAGCTCTGGGCAACAAGTACAGGAGAGGTAGCGGATAAAGGAAAAGGTGAACGTGGAGAGACTAATCAGAAGACATTTACAGGAGTCACAAATGTAGAGATGCGCACATAATCCAGAATCAAGGACAAACCACACAGCACACACACACACAACTAGGGTACCCACACTATGACTACAACTGAATAGAAAATATAATACAACAAAGAACAGTATAACTATAAGCATAGTAACAACTAAACAGTAAATAAACCCTGTTCTATTCTGAACAGTACATCAAAATTCCCAGCCTTTCACTAGGCGGTTCCCAGCCCTTCACCGGGCGGACAAAATTCCCAACCTTTTACCGGGAGGATGCGTTCCCTGCCCGCTAGGCAGTCAAGCTATAATGATAATAAAGCATAAACCACACACCAGCTGTCTCACACGCATACATACACTCAGGAGGCAGATAGAAAATTGACAGGTTCGTTTTAAAAGGCACCGGATAAGAGATTACCTGTCTTGTAGCCTTCTGGAAGCCGGAAGTGGACAGGGAGACAGTCCGACACAAAACAGGAGAATACAGGCAAACCGCTGTATTTAGGAGGTGATCAGGCCCCGGTTGTCCCACTTTCCGGAGGTCTGCTCCGGTCCCGTTTTCTGGCCGTCCGAACGGGCGAGAACCGGTGCCCCACGTTGGGCGCCAAATGATGTGGAATCAATCAATAAATTGATTATCTTGCGTATCTGCCCCCGGCCAAATTAAAGAAGCAATGTGTGCACGCTCCTGAAGTAATTCACACCAGACACAAGTTTCGGGTTAATGAAAAACTTGAGGAATGTTTATTCTGAGGGGACGGCATGTCCCTTATAAAGCAAAATTACATCATATGCATTGTCAGAGATAACATAGAATAATACATCAATAATTGGTTAGGTGTTAAGTGGTTCATTTAGTGCTCTTCCTACCGGGTGTGATGTCACTGGATTCCCGCGCCATCTTATTAATGAGGGTGTTAGTTGATGTCAAAGGGAAACTCCCTAGCGGCCATTTTAGGTAAATCACATAGAAAGTTGAATAACGCTGATTGTAGTTATGTTGAGTAAATAGGCATTTTACTAATATAAATTGGGTTAATATTTTTTGTCCACAACAGTCCACCCTTAAAATTACTATTTACGAAAAGAAGGAGGAAAGGACAGCCAACTACTAACTAACCCTAAAGACATCCCTAATTGTCTGCAGCTCATCTGTCTTAACAAGCCTCGAACACTTCACTGCGCAGGTATCCCGCAGCGGCTAACCCACTACATCTCTTGTGTCAGACTTCTGCTCGTAGAGCTATCCCTATGCTGTCCCTACATGGAAGCAGTTGTCTGTTTGAGGTGGTGGGACTGAAGAGGTGTGTGAGGGGTGTCACAGTCCATGTCGTCAGCATCCTGATGTAGGAATGTAGGTGTAGTGCGGTCAATGGTCTGAGCTACAGTCTTCTGTAGATATTTCTGTACACAAGGTATTACACAACAAGTCAGAAAGAGAAAGAGAATTACCTCTTATCCACCCAAACCATCTGTCCCATGAGGTGGGGACTCCCGAATTTCTTTTTAATTTGTCCGAAAGATTCTCTAATTTCTCTATGGCCATGGTTACCTTGCCATTAGGACCTGTATTGTCCGGGATGAAAGTACAGCATGTCATAGTATCGGGGAGTATTATACACACACCCCTCTTTTCTGCTAGGATCATGTCTAAGGCTATTCAATATTGGAATGTCATCTGGGAGGTAGTCTGTAATTGTTCTGCTAAGCCCTGTAGGGCATCTCTGGTATAATTGACAAATCGTTGCTGGTTATAGTAAATATAATTGATCCAGTTAACATTCTTATTGGCGGTGATGAGTGGGATCAAGGATTCGAATCCTGCCGCCACTTCATCTCTTACTTTGAACTCATTTGGTACCCCCCTTGGTACTCCAATGGGAGTCAAATCGAAGCGTCTTATAGTGTATTTACAGCGCAGTTGTAAACATTCTAATTGTTTTGCTGCTAATCTGCTAAATAGTACATTTTGGGGCGTGCACTTCATATCTGAGAGTCAAATCGAAGCGTCTAATAGTGTACTTACAGCGCAATGGTAAACATTCTTATTTTCTGGGTGCTAATCTGCTAAATAGTACATTTTCTGGCCTGAACTTCATATCTGAGAGTCAAATCGAAGTGTCTAATAGTGTGCTTACAGCGCACTGGTAAACATTCTTATTTTCTGGGTGCTAATCTGCTAAATAGTACATTTTGAGGCCTGCTCTTCATATCTGAGAGTCAAATCGAAGAGTCTAATAGTGTGCTTACAGCGCAGTTGTAAAAATTCTAATTGTTTTGCTGCTAATCTGCTAAATAGTACATTTTGGGTGTGCACTTCATATCTGAGAGTCAAATAGAAGCGTCTAATAGTGTGCTTACAGTGCAGTTGTAAAAATGTGAATTGTTTTGCTGCTAATCTGCTAAATAGTACATTTTGGGGCGTGCACTTCATATCTGAGAGTCAAATCGAAGCGTTTAATAGTGTGCTTACAGCTCAGTGATAAACATTCTTATTATCTGGGTGTTAATCTGCTAAATAGTACATTTTGTGGCCTGCACTTTATATCTGAGAGTCAAATCGAAAAGTCTAATAGTGTGCTTACAGCACAGTTGTAAAAATTGAAGATTATGCTAGCTTTAGTGTACTAATAATCTTAATTTTAATAAGGACAGGAGGCGAGTATTTTGCATTAACTCTCTTTACTAAACTCCACAGCAGTAAAGAGTAACATTAAATCACTGAGTAGCATAGTATATATAAGGGTCATGCTGCCTGTACACTTCCTCTTTCTTGAAGCAACATCCCAGTCCAGACTGAGCTCGAAACATCCAGTAAAACCAACGGAAACTGCAAACAACGGTCTCTGGTGAGGAGAACTTGCGGAGACTCCTGGCGAACGAGATTGGAGGCAAGACGAAATGAAGTCTTTATCCCATCCAGCGGAGTCGTGAGGTTAACCGAACCAGCATCCAGTGGAGGTCCTGAAGAGGATTACACTGAAAGGAGAGTATAACATAGGTTAGGTATTGAACCGTAACTGGTCAAGCAATTGAGCCTTATCAGAGTGCTTTAAGATAAATGATTAAATACATGATTAGATGCAAGCATGCGATACAACATAAATCCTGGCCGCATAAGGCAGTGATTCTAGGATGAGAGTCGGGAGAGAAACAGAATATACCCCAAATAAAGGAGAAATCACTAAAAGTCATAACGAAACATCCGTCACCTTGAGATCCACTCCCCCGAGGAGTCAGGGCAGGGAACAGAAGGGAGGGAAAATACTCGCCTCCTGTCCTTATTAAAATTAAGATTATTAGTACACTAAAGCTAGCATAATCTTCAATTTTATAACATGACAGGAGGCTTCCTATTTTGCAATTTTAACGCTGAAGTAGAGATGTCCCAGCAGAAGGGGGAGTGCGGAAATAAAAGGTATGGAAAGTAGATTCCCTTGACCAATCCACCGCTCGGAGAATGTCTGACAGGGACGCCCCCGCCAGGAAGGCTGAGGAAGCCGCCACTCCGCGAACGGAGTGGGCACTGAAAGCGGGGTCTATACCGGCGAGAGAGAGGATCCAGCGAATCCATCGGGCCAGCGTGGTGGCCGAGACCAGAGCATGGGGGCGAACATAGGAGACTAGGAGTGAGGCGGTAACCGAAACGTATCTGCGAAGGGTGGACACGACACAGAGCTGCGGGCCGTCGGGGAAAAAGGGATAGAAGACTGAAGTTGAACCCGACTTAGTGCGATGAGAAATGTGGAATGTGACCACCTCAGGGGCCACCTCAAAAGCTTCGACGTCGAAGGCTCGAACGTCCGAAACTCGTCGAAAGGACACGAGACAAAGCAGAAAGGCGCACTTAGCCAATAATTGGCGTAGGGAGAGACGGTCATTAGGAAGCCAATCCCTGAAAAAATGGAGAACCAGTCCAACATCCCATAGGTGAGGGTACCTGGGGGCCGGAGGGCGGCGGAGCCGAATACCACGGAGCAGGCGGCAGACGAGAGGGTCTTTGCCAACCGGAAGGTCCCCGACGGGGGTGTGGGCGGAGCGAACGACGTTAACTGAACGGTAGGAGCGACCCGACGAAAACAACAATGAGAGAAAATTGAGAATCATGGGAATAGGTGCTGTAAATGGATCGGAGTCCTGTTCCACGCACCAAGTAGACCAGGAGGCCCAAGCTGAAAGGTAACAGCGTCTAGTTCCGGGGGCCCAGGAATCCCATAAGAGGTCCCTAGTAGCCTGCGATAGTCCGCTGACTCGCCAGGAACCGCGGAAAGAGTCCAAGCCACCAGGGACAGATGGTCTTCCAAGAGAAGTGGGTGAAGATTGCCTTTGGGATCCGTGAGCAGGTCCGGAAAGGATGGTAGGAGTAAAGGGTCCTTGCAGGAGGAGGCCAGGAGATCCGGGAACCATAGTTGGCTCTGCCACAAGGGCGTTATGAGAACCAGTGTGACATGTTGTGTCCGTATCTGGTGTAGTGTTCTCGCAATCATGGAGAACGGGGGAAAGGCGTAGGCCCTGGTCGTCGGCCATTGTTGGAGAAATGCGTCTGTCGCCTTGCTCTCCGGGTCCGGGAGCCAGCTGAAGAACTCCGGGGTCTGGTGATTGTTGCGAGAAGCGAACAGATCCAGGTGAAAGGGACCCCTCCAGGCTGCCAGGGCCCTGAAGACTCCCGTGTTCAGCCTCCAGTCGCTGACGTCTCTCCAGTGGCGAGAGAACCAGTCGGCCGTGAGGTTGATCTTTCCGGGTAGGTATTCGGCCTGAAGTGCGATGTTGCGAGGTAGGCAATAGTCGAAGATGTCCCTCATGACGTCCGACAGCAGGCATGAGCGTGCACCCCCCAGGCGATTGATATACCGGACTGCGGAGACATTGTCCATGCGTAGGAGGATGCAGCAGTTGGATCTTTCCCGGGCCAGGCTGCAGATCGCGAAGGACCCCGCCAGGAGTTCTAGGCAATTTATGTGCATGGAGAGCTCCTGTGCCGTCCATGTTCCCCCCGTGGAGATGGTTCCGTTGGTGGCACCCCATCCCCACAAGCTGGTGTCTGACTCCAGTATGAAGTCTGGGGTATCTCCGAATATGGCCCTGCCGTTCCAGGCTTGCATGCTGTCCAGCCACCATGATAGTTTCTCGCGAACCTCCGTCGTCACCGGGACGGGTTGATCGTTTGTGGGCCTGCGGCATAGGTATCTTGCCTTGAGGCGTTGCATGGCTCTTTAGTGGAGGGGACCCGGAAATATGGCCTGAATGGAGGCGGAGAGGAGTCCTACGATACTGGCCAGGTTGCGTAGTGGGATGGAATCGCGACGGAGAACTCTGCGAATCTCCTTGCGAATGGACGAGATCTTTGAGGCTGGTAGTCTCAGAGTGCATGTTATTGAGTCGATCTCGAAGCCCAGGAATTGTATCGTCTGGGAAGGGGTCAATTCCGATTTCTGTTGGTTTACCACAAAGCCCAAAGATTCCAGTAGTGTCACTGCGAGATGAGTATGTTGACGCAGTCTGCGTTCGTTCGGAGCAGAAGAGGAGGAGGTCGTCCAAGTACATGATGCATTGGATGCCTCTGGATCTCAGGTGGGCCACTACTGGTTTCAGGAGCTTGGTGAAACACCATGGGGCCGAGCTGAGCCCGAAAGGGAGGCAGGTGAATTGCCAAGGGCGGCCATGCCAGAGGAAACGTAGGAGAGCTCGGCAGTCCGGATGCACTGGGACCGACAGGTATGCATCCTTTAGATCGAGCCTGGTGAACCAGTTGTTGCTTCGCCGGAGGTCTCGCAGAAGGTGGATGCCCTCCATCTTGAAGTGGCGGTACGCCACGTACGCGTTGAGATCGCGTAGGTTGATGACAGGATGGTATTCTCCCGTCTTTTTCCGGACCAGGAAGATATTGCCTCCCAGTCGTGGGCCGGCTGAATAGCCCCTTTGTATCAAAGCTCGCGTAGTTCCGCGTTGATGAGATAATGGTCAGAAGACGACATGTGGATGGGGCAATGGGGTTGTGTCTGAATGGGGGTCCCCACTAGGTCTATGATATATCCCTGTACTGTTTGTAGGATCCACGTGTCTGAACACAGGGCGGCCCAATTCTGGAAAGAAAGGGAAATACGGCCGGCAGAGCGGGTGCATGGTAACAACGGAGGAATACGGGTGCTTACCTGTAGCAAAGCGGGAACGTCCACGTCCGCGGTATGGGGATATTTATGGGATAATAATAGTAAGCAGTGAGAATTGCCCACTAATTCAATTCTCAGATCCCAAAGGTCGTTATCGTGTTAAGTGAAATGTATTTCATATAAATAAAATCACAATTTGTTATAAAAATTGATTTTATTTTATAATAACCAATAATTAACAATAATATTATGCAACATGCATGACAATAATCAATGAATATCCAGTATAAAATGGTATGCAATACAAAGGAATGGCTATACACGTTTCAATGGCTAAACAGCATTTTCTGTCAAGACTACACGATTTATGAGGTATCCTTACAGACAGAAAGTGAAGCTTTTCACAGCGAAGGGCCATAAAACCCTGGCTAACAGTTAGATCAACTGAATAACCCTTTCAATGCTGGCTAGATCTCCTGGGTAATTAAGATCTATTCTTATGTAATTTTAAATAAAATAACATTTAAACCAGTTCATTAGTCATTTCCTGGAACCATCCAATAAGAGAATCTACAATGTTATATAAGCAGAGTTTGTTTTTAATTTGCCTAAATAGATCTTTTATCTTATTTTAGAGCAAATCAATACACCTGGATAAAAACAGCGGTATGCTAACATGTGATACTATCACATTAATATATAATTATTCTTAATTCCACCTGCAGAATGGAATGTTTATAACTATATATTCTTTAGTTAACTAAGATTTCTTAATATGGAAATCTGACCGTGATTTATCCAGTCATATATCATGCTATTAGTACATTTTAATTAATTTAACTAATTAAATGAAACCAGTATAATTACCAGTTGAGTAGATATTTCATCCGATTGGTAGATAGTCTCAGGAACTTATTTGGATGTCTGTAGGTGCATGAGTTATGGTGAAAGGTGGTGTTGGTTAGAAAGTCAGTAAAATTCTAAGTGTTAGAGTTTTAAGAGTAGAGTGTTAGGCTCAGATGCTGTCCTGGGTTTCTCTGCATGTCCGAGTTAGAGTCCCCCTTCTTCCAATTCCTCTCTCTGTCTCCTTCCTCAACCCTCCTGTCTTCCCTATGTCCTAACTTTTAAAGGGAAAATTCACCAGTTGGTAAACCAATAGCAACACTGGGGGTGTGGTTATCTTCCAGATCGCAATTTAGTTATTTGATCTATAGAGGGCAGTCTTGTCCCACTACACATACCTATCCAGGAAATAGTTAACTTTTCCTGGTGGCTATTTTGACGTCATTTTGGCTTATCTTTATAGTGGCCATAACTTACGTTTCCTTTCACTTCAAAGGGTTTTCTCTTAGTTTTGTCCAGACTTAGTGTCCGCAATTCCTGCTATAATTTCTAAAATGGCAGTTCATGAACTAAGTTTAACCTTTTACATATAGAAAGTAAAATTTTATTATTTAATCTTCTCTGTCACCAATGTCTGGGTTTAGAATTGATCTATTCCATTAGCATTTAGACAGTCTATCCAACCCCCGTTCTCCTTATCACTTGGTTTGTATATACTATGCATTCCTTTAGCTCTGGGAAAGTGGTTAGTTTTACAGATAGGATAGAAATTTCGTGTCTCTTTTGTTAACTTGAAAATAACAAAATGGAGTCTGCTCTGTTTAGAGTGACTCAGCATATACACTTTTAATTTCTATCATAGCACAAGATGTCTGCCGATATAAATACCCTGACAGCGGTGTCCACGGCCTCTGTCCGAGTCTCTGGAGAAAGGCTGCTGCCGGTAATCTCTCGTTGGGTAAAACGGTGTCGGTTGGGTGCGGGGGGCTGAAGGACAGAATCGGCTGGCGGCACGCTTTATTAAGTGAGGTGAACACGTTCACGTGTTAAGTTCCTTGAGGAACGGTTCACCAAATAGTTTCCCAATCTCCTTTGTGCCAAGCTCTGCCAATTTACCGTTAATACGGTATAACGCTGCTTTCCGTCTCTCGGAAGAGAGCATAACATTTGTGTTTCCAATGAAACAAAAGCACCGTTGTGCCCACTCGCAAACATCGTGTGCCCATTCCCTGAGGTCTTCGGCAGAGAAGGAATCGCCTTTGGCGTAGGCGTCATCCGCCATGTACATAATGCGGGCCAGGGGGCCCACGGAATCCAGCAGGTTATCCTGAGCGCCCCATAGGCTTTTCTCTACCCCTCGGCGAGTGTCTCTTCCACTGCGCATAATGAAGGTTGTCATAACCTTGTCAAACTCGGGTCTGAGCCACCTTATCTGGCAGGGAAGGGCGTGGGCATTCTGATCTAAGCCGGCTGCGGACCTCTTTCTCTAGAGGCTTGCGGAGCCATAGGTGCATGAACCTTGAAAGGTGGTCCAGGCACAGGAACCGCGAGGGAGCATGGTAGACAGGCTCCTCCTCCATCAGCCATCAGCAGCCAGTGACAGGAGCAGGGCCGCCAGACCGGCCAAGCGGCCACCCGGCCCGGCGGCTCCAGCCAGGAACGCGGCCGGCCCCCTGCCTTCTCTGAGGTAAATTGGGGGCAGGGGGAGAGATAGGGAAAGGGGGGGAGGGAGGGAGAGACACAGGGAAAAGGGGGGAGAGGGAAGAGACACAGGGAAAGGGGGGAGGGAGAGGAGAGACACAGGAAAGGGGGGAGGAGGAGAGGGAAGAGACACAGAGAAAGGGGGAGAGGGAAGAGACACAGGAAAGGGGGGAGGGAGAGGGAGAGACACAGGGAAAGGGTGGGAGGGAAGAGGGAAGACACAGGAAAGGGGGAGAGGGGAGAGACACAGGAAAGGAGGGAGAGAAGAGACACAGGGAAAGGGAGGGAGAGGGAGGAAGAGACAGGGAAAGGGGGAGGGAGAGGAGGAAGAGAAACAGGAAAGGGGGAGAGGAGAGGAAGAGACACAGGAAAGGGGAGGGAGAGAGGGAGGGGAGGGAGACACAGGAAAGGGGGAGGGAGAGGGAAGAGACACAGAGAAAGGGGGGGAGAGGGGAGAGACACAGGAAAGGGGAGGGAGAGGGAAGAGACACAGGGAAAGGGGAGGGAGAGGGAGGGAAGAGACACAGGAAAGGGGAGAGGGAGAGGGAAGAGACACAGGAAAGGGGGAGGGAGGGAGAGGGAGACACAGGGAAAGGGGAGGGTGAGAGAGGGACAGGAAAGGGGGAGGGAGAGGGAGGGAGATGGGGAAAGGGGGGGAGAGGGAGAGGGAAGAGACACAGGGAAAGGGGGGAGGGGAGGGAGAGGGAGAGACACAGGGAAAGGAGGGAGGGTGAGAGAGGGGAGAGACACAGGGAAAGGAGGGAGGGAGAGAGAGGGGAGAGACACAGGGAAAGGGGGTGAAAGGATGCAGAGGGGGGAGAGACAGACACACAAGGGGAGGGGAAGAAAGAGGCAGAGGGGGAAGAGAGAGAGAAAGAGGGAGAAATGAGAGAGACACACAAGGGGAGGGGAAGAAAGAGGCAGAGGGGGAATAGAGAGACTGGGAAGGAGAGGGGAGACATTGACACAGAGGAGCAGTGAGGGGGAGAAAGAGAGGACCCGGGGCAACACTCCGGCTCTCACGAGGGTGAACTCTAGCCCTGGAGCTACGGGCTAGAGTTCACTCTCACCACTTCCTGGTGGTCGCAGTAGTAGGAGTGAACTCTAGCCCCATACACACCATACACATTCACACACTGCCCCCACACACACCATACACATTCACACACTGCCCCCACACACACAATACACATTCACACACTGCCCCCCCCCACACACACACACACTGAACCTTTCATACACATTGCACCCCTCACACATTGCACCACTGCTCCTATACCCTACTACAGCCCCATATCCCAGCAGACTCCAGGTAAGTTGTCAAACTGTTCTTAGACGGTTTGGCTACTTACTCTGGGAGGGGGTGCCGACACTCCTGGCACCATAACCACTACACAGAGGAGTAGTGGTTATTGTGCATGGAATATTTCTTTAAATAATCTCCAAATGCCCCTCCCGGGCTCAGGCTCTGGATCCGTCACTGGTATATGGCATGTATATTAGTTATATATATATATATACATATATATATCTCTATTATATTTACACATATTAATGTACATTTATATATGCATAATACACAGAGAAATTTCATTAATATCTACCATATGTAATGAGCAGATATTGGCCCAGTCTTGTTCCTAGGTGCATACTCCAGCTGAATAACTATTTAAAGTGAAGAGCACACCCACAGGACTTCAAAATAAACATTTTTTACAGTTGTGCCCTACATACATTCACCATTTCAGTCCCATTAACAAGCTTTCCTTAATATGTCAAGGTTTGTATCACTCTTACACTCTGTCCTAGAAAAAGGAGGAGGAGGGGGATGAGGGGTGTCAGGTCTGAGTTTCTTCCTCTGCCTCATTCCACAAGTCATTTTAACCCCTTCATTATTGTTTTCCCACCTTAAGTTATCTAAGAATAAAGCAACGTCATTCAAAGTGCTTTTTTCTCTAGCAATTACAATTGCAGTTGGATCTAGAAATTCATTAATTAAATGATCCTCAGGAAAATTAGCAACAAGTCTATATGCATTTTCAAATTTTACAAGAAAACTAAAAATATCCTCATCCTTGTGTGCTTTTAATGTCTGCAAAATCATTACCTGTTGTTAATTTTATTAATTGTGTTAATCTTTCTTGCTTATTTCCATATATTATTTTATCATTGTCCTCACATTTTACAGGCTCGGTCAGTCTACATGCCATTTGATTCGGCAGCCATATTTTAAATAGTCTATTACTTTGTTTGTCATTAAGGCTGTATTTGTCCAAATTTGACTCAAACATTTCAGCATTAGTAAATGCATCCACTGACGTGTCATAAACTGGAATACATTTCAAAATTTTCATTAATTGTTCATGGATTTTCAAATTATGTTTTGCAGCTCTGTCTTGAAATTTATATTTCTGCAAATCACTCTGTGAGGATACATTTTCAGTATCTATTGGCTCTGGGATTAGATGCTGTGCCTGTATTTTTCTTGTATTAACACACACTTGTTTTACTTCATTTCGAAGCTGGCAAATAAGATAATTTCTTAATTAAACTCTATCCTCTAGTCCACAGACTGTTTCTGACTGTTTACAGCATATACTCTGTGTTACATTGTTACACTTTTCATTTAAATCTGATTTGAATTCTGTTAACCCATTCAAATCTACTTCTTTATCTGCTGATTCTAAATTGTCTTGACCTGCATCTCGTTTACAAATCAATTCATTGTAAGTACAGACTAGTTTCATAACATTTCTGATCTTTTGTTTTTTCTTATTAACAAATAATTTCTTGGCAATTTCACATTGTGTGTATAATGATTGCCACAACACAGCATCTGAAGAGCTGCTATTAAATGCAAACTGCAATTTACTTTCCTCTGTAATATCGTTTATGAATTCCATGTTACTCACCAGATGAGTTATTTCTGTCTATTTTGTTGCTTCATCCACACAGCTGCGCAGTTCTGGGCTTGATTCTGGACGCTTGCCAATCTCTGCCACGTGCTTGCTTCTAGAATTCATGTTGTATCTTGTGCTTTTTGTCTCAGTTGTAGAAAATAGTCTTGTACAGTCTTTGTGATTTGAAAACGGTTTTTTTCTTACAAACCACAGTTCTTCTGTGACAGTCTAGATTCTTTTTCTTCTCTTCAAGTTTGTTTTCCCAGTTCCAAAACAGCTTTGTAACTCAATTCTTCTCTCTCCCCCCTTGAAGTGGGAACAAAACTTGAATAGAAGACTGGCTGGCTAGCCAATGTAAAATCTGGTTGGAATCGTCAATGTTGAATCTTCTTAACTTCTTCTTGTCTTCAGTTGATTGATATATATACATCATGGTAATTGCTGGACTTTTGACGGGATAGTTACATCCTTATATCTTTACATCCAGAGAGAGCCAGAGAGAGCCCAGAGCCAAGAGATCTCGTGTCTCTTTGTTCAGTTACTATATACTTTGTTCAGACTATAACTCTAGCGATATAAGGACAAGACCCCCATATCCACATTCCAGAGCTCTCGAACAAAGAAAGCCTTGTGACCTATACCATCTGTTACTTATGTCAATCCACACATCCATATATAATCAATAGAAACATAGAATATGCAATATTCTATATGCTTACAGTGCAGTGGTATAAATTCTAATTTTCTGAGCGCTAATCTGCTAAATAGTACATTTTGGGGCATGCACTTCATATCTGCACTAACTAACCACTGCTCCCAGGGAGCTGGGCTACATGTGCCTGGGCTTCCTGAGGAGGGAGGCTGACCTCCACAGGGACAAGACCATACCAGACATGATCAGGTGAGCTAAAAAAAAAAATATGTATTCAGACAAAAAAATAACTGCCCTAGGGCTAGGAGGACAGGGAAAGACTGAGGTGTGGATGCTACTGGGGTCCCTTTTATACTAGGGGAAGGTATGCTTAATTGTTTAATTGTGTTTCCTGTCCTGAGGGTTAGAGGGAGGAGCTAAACCCATATGTTAAATGCTGCCAGGAAATATTAAATATTCTGTTGCTTTAAGATGATGGTGTTTTATACCTGGAAATCTCTTTATATGGCATGCGATGCATTGACTAGATAAGCATGCATCCTTGACTTCATAACATTGGGAGTATTTACTATATATATAGATATATATGCCTGAATTGAAAACTCTTCTTCTTATCTATGGATTCACTTTTGTATGCTTGATTACATAGATGGTGCTGCATATGCTAAACATGTCTCGATTTCTTCTCTTACTTTAGCATATGCATTTCTATTATTTTCTTTTTCATTTTTTAAATTTTTTTTATCACTTTTCCATTTAATTTAAGTTTTATTTTCAATTAATTCTTATCGGCATGTTACTATAACTTTCTGTTTAATATTTTTTCCATAACAGTGGCTTTAGAAATGCACTTTGTTCATACTTTTCGCTCCATACAGGAGCTGTATGAGGCTCTTTTTCATTCCTATTGGAAATTTATTTTGCCTTTCGGCATATTAGCATTGTGTAACCCTGCCAGCTTTGTTGGTACCAGCACTTTGCACGTGCGCCAATTACGGACCGGTTTTCATAACTCATATGCGTTCCACCTTCCCCAGCCTGCCTCCAGCTTCGGCGATTTGAGGCGCATGATGCGGCTTGTGCATCCATTCAATGCTTAACCCCTTAAGACCGGAGGGCATACTATTACGCCCGATTTTAGGCATCTCTAAACGCCGCAGGGCGTAATATTATGCCTTCCGGTCTTTCCTTACTTACCCGTTCGCCAGCGCTCCCACGCCGGCGATCGCGGTTGGGGGGACTCCCAGGGAGCCCCCCCGCGGCAGATCCTCTTCCTGGCAGCCCCCCCGGCTATGTGATAGTGAGGTCCTTGCGAGGACCTCACAATCACATGGCCGGGATAGCTGCCTCCTGCATTGCCAGCAGGGGGACTGCCTGTAATGACAGGTAGTCCCCCTGCTGGCTGAAAATAAAATAAATAAAAGTTAAAAGTGTAAAAAAATTAAAATATATACTTAGATCATATTATTATATTATATATATGATCTAAGTATATATATATACACATATACATACACACACATACACTGTATAGGTGTATTTTACTATTAATATATATATAATTATATATATATATATACATATATATATATACATATATATATTATCAAATTACACATAGACTGATACTGATTATATATATATATATATATATATATATGTATTGTTATATATATATTTATATATAATATAAAAAAAATTAATATGTAAATACGTTAAAAAATTAAATTACTACCCCATTTGTTCAAATTAAACTTCACTAAGCTGATCAGATCATTTACTGACACACTACGCACATGGGAGGGCAAATATCTCTCATGGCAGGGCAGACTGGCAGCGATTAAGTTGTCAATACTTCCTAAACTCCAATATCTGTTGCGCACAGTCCCTATTAGTCTGCCGGGCCAATACATGACAACGATCCAAAAGATGATTGTACGGTTTGTGTGGGCCAACCGCAAGGTGCGGGTGGCCAGCAAACTCCTACAAAAAACGATCAAAGAAGGGGGACTGGGAATGCCCAACATCCGATCTTACCATAGAGCCACACTGCTGGCTGCCATAGCAGCAACAAACGCAGTGGAAGGACCCCAGTGAGTTCACATAGAAACACACTGGGCATGCAAACAGGGGCTGCGACACCTATACCAGCTGCCGCGCAAACTACGACCGACATATGCGGACATGTTGCCGACCACAGCGGCAATGATCAAAACATGGGACTCAGTAAGGGTATCACTGGGCATGGTCGGACCAACTACAGGGAACATCCCATTCACGAGCATTTCAGTGGGCATCCCAACATTCGATCACACCCCCTGGGTGAGGGGGGGTGCACACACCTTAGACAGGCATGCGAGGGCAACGTGATACTGCCATTCCCAGTGCTGCAAACCAAGTTCTCCCTGCTCACCAGACACATATTCCCTTATCTCCAACTAAAATCCTTAGTGACCTCACACTTTAAGGGGACATACAGCGAGCCACCAAACATTAGCGCCTTAGAACAGCTATGCCTAACGGGCAGCATACCCAAAAAAATCTTGTCAAAACTATATGCGCTATTGAATACAGCGACTACAAACGAACACAGGGACTTTAGAGAAGCCTGGCAGAAAGACATAGGATGCCCGCTCGCGGACCTAGACTGGAAACAGGCATTCCAAGCGCACAAAGGGCACACCTCATGCGCTACACACCTAGAAATAATGAGAAAAATTATGTACAGATGGTATATGGTCCCAGACTAACTAGCGAAAATATACCCAGGAAGCTCAGGGAAGTCCTGGAGGAGTTGCGGAGACAGGGGGACAATGTACCACATTTGGTGGACGTGCCCGGTAATAATTCCATACTGGGGGATGGTGGAAGGGGTAATCACAAACATGATAGGCCACCCATATCACTTGAGGCCCGAACAGGGCATACTGTTCATGCATCTTGCCCAATGGCACAAACAGGAAAGGCAACTGATATTCCAAGTGCTCATAGCGGCAGTGACACTAATTGCCAGACACTGGAAGCAACCACAAGCACCCAGCAAACACGATCTCATAACACAAACAACCACAAACTGGGAATATGAGGTTATGGCAAACAAATACATTACCAACAACCACACGATCATAGAAGCAAAAAACAAATGGGCATTAACATTAAGAGAAGCACACATCACCTCAGAACCCAGGACGCAGAACTACACTAAGACAAGAGAAACTGAGGAACGAAAAAATGCCAGAGAGACAGGGAGTATTTAGGGCATGACCTGGGAGGATGGAACAATACACAGCACCGATAGAGCACAGGAGGTAGTCAGACAGAACTAACATCTAGGAAACATGGCCCCAGAGGGAGGGCAAAGAGGAGCATTCTTTCACAACTTTCTACAGAATGAGTTTCTCCGCCAAACCTTAATCTAGCTTCAATTCAATAAGCATCTAGACGGCTGTTCTAGCACATATCCCGCTCGTAGCACACATATGCTAAGCCTCGACGCAGAAACCAGGCAACATTAAACAGAGCTCCCAAAGGGAGAGAGAACCACCCTCCTGTAGAAGTCCAGCATGCAGTCCCATAGGGTCTTAACAAACCTCACGGGATAAGGACGAGCAACACGGCACACACACCGCGAAGCTACTCTACCCGCTAGGCGCTAGACTAGCAGCAAACGCAAGTAGCGACGTAAAGACCAGCAATTCATACTACACATGCAATCCCAGGAAAGATAGAAAATACAGAATGTAAAAATACACACGTTAAAATCGTTAAAATTGTAATATGTGAAATGTAAACTGTGAATTGTGAAATGTAAAATGTAACTATACACGGCGGAGAGTTGTAAATGTAAACAACATCGCTTATGTTCCCCCCCTCTCCCCTTTTTTTTTCTGTACCCCCCCCTATACTGCATTTTGAAGTATGACAAAATAAAAATTGTCAAATTGAAAAAAAAAATTAAATTACAAAAAATTCCAAAATAAATAATTAAAAAATATAGAAATGTGTTATTTTGTTCTAACTGTATTGTGATATATATATATATATATATATATATATATATATATATATATACATTTATATCAAAATACAGTAGAACGAAATAATATATATATCTATATACATAAATATATATGTAAAAAATCACTATATATATATACCTATATAAATAAAAATATTTTTAAAAAATTGTATATATATATTAATTCTACATATATATTGATGTAATATTTTTACATAATTGGGTATCTTAATTAATTACAATTAGCGGGACCTGCCTAACAACCCATGCCGAAATTAAAGGGAATTTAATTTGCTAGCACTATATTTAACCCTATAACTTTCCAAGACACCATAAAACCTGTACATGGGGGGTACTGTTCTACTCGGGGGACTTCGCTGAATACAAATATTAGTTTTCAAAACAGTAAAATGTATTACAACGATGATATCGCCAGTAAAAGTGACGTTTGCATTTTTCACGCACAAACAGCACTTACACGGACGATATTATTGCTGTGATACTTTTTACTGTTTTGAAACACAAATATTTGTGTTCAGCGAAGTCTCCCGAGTACAACAGTACCCCTCATGTACAGGTTTTATGGTGTTTTCAAAAGTTACAGCGTCAAATATAAGGCTTGTGTTTCATTTTTTCACATTAAAATTTGCCAGATTGGGTACGTTGCCTTTGAGACCCTATGGTAGCCCAAGAATGAAAATTACCCCTATGATGGCATACCATTTGCAATAGTAGACAACCCAAGGTATTGCAAATGTCCAGTCTTTTTTAGTAGCCACTTAGTCACAAACACTGGCCAAAATTGGTGTTTTTTGCATTTTTCACACACAAACAAGTACTAACGCTAACTTTGGCCAGTGTTTGTGACCAAATGGCTACTAAAAAAGACTGGACATACCCCATTTGCAATACCTTGGGTTGTCTACTATTGCAAATGGTATGTCATTATGGGTGTAAATTTCATTCCTGGGCTACTATAAAGTCCCAAAGGCAACGTAACCAATCTGGCAAATTTCAAATGTAACGTGCTATATTTGACCCTGTAATTTCCCAAAACGCCATAAAACCTGTACATAGGGGGTACTGTTTTTTTTTGTTTTTGTTTTAAAGATTCTTTATTTTCATTTTCATGTTTCATAAGAACATATGAACGTTTGTACAGAAAGAGGAAAAGAAAAAGGTGGTTATTTGGGTAACAACAATTGGGTGCGACATTGGGTTGTTTGCATTCGAGTCTGGCTCTTTGGGCTGGGGTGTCTTTGTCTATACCGTCTATCGTGGACCGCTGTTTGTTGGGGATCATACGGTCAACCACGCTGTTTGTGTTATTTGTTTTTGTGCTTCAATGAGGAGGTTGTGGTTGGGATGGAGAACGCTATGTTGTGTAGTGGTCTGGTTTGTTAGGTCCGTTGGAGGAGAGTAGGGGTATAACTCATATGTCTGTTTTGCCAGGGTTGTTGTAGGTGGTCATTTTTAGGTGAGGGTTGGCAGGGCCGGTGCAAGGATTTTTGCCGCCCTAGGCAAAAGTAAAGTTTGACGCCCCCCTCCTCCCCACCGTGACATCGCAATGCCCCACCCATATGACCTGCCATGTTAACTAACGCTAGTGCTGCAGTGCCGCTGTGTTTACATTAAAAGGCCTGCAGGGACAGGCTATAGACACCAGGACCACTACATTAAGGTGCAGTGGTTCTGGGGACTATAGTGTTTCTTTAATGTGAGGTAAATTAGAGATTAGTGCCACGAATAATATACTAGATTACCTACTTACAAGCAGATGAGGATGATGATGGGCTCTAGCTGCAGTCTGGCTCCACTGGTCTGGTGTATAACAGGATCTCTGGAGGCTGTTTGTAACTGTGGTCACACAAATCAATGTTCTGGGAGAACGAGAAGCAGCTCCATTTTTTGGGGGCCCTTTACACAGCTCAAGGTCTGGGTCCCAGGGTCCACCTTCATTTTCCACCAATGAGTTTGTTCACAGGGGATGGAGTGTGTAGGGAATGTCCTGATTTGTGTGTAAGGAATGCATTTTGTGAATCTGTGTTTGTATGTGTAAGGGCTGCAAGGTGTGTTTCTGTGTATGTAAGGGATGAAGTGTGTGAGTCTGTAAGGGGTGCATTGAGTGTGTGTAAGGAATGCATTGTGTGTTTCTGTGTGTGCAAGGGATGCATTGTGTGTAAGGGTTGCATTGCGTGTGTGTGTGTAATGCATTGTGTGTGTAATGCATTGTGTGTTTTTCTGTGTGCAAGGGGTTCATTGTCTTTGTGTGTAAGGGGTGCATTGTGTGTGATTGTGTGTGTGTGTGTGATGGATGTCAATCTCTCCCCCCTCCCTTGTCACTCTCTTCTCCCCCCCTCCCTTGTTACTCTCATTCCCCCTCCCTCCCCTGTCACTCCCCCCTCCCTGTCAATTTCTCTCTCCCCGTCAATTCCCCTCCCTGTCAATGTCTCCCCCCCGTTAGTTTCTTTCCCCCCCACCTCCCTGTTAGTTTCTTTCTCCCCCCTCCCCTGTCAGTTTCTTTCTTCCCCCCCCCTCCCCTCCCTGTTTCTTTCTTCCCCCTCCCTGTTTCTTTCTTCCCCCTCCTTCCCTGTTTCCTTCTCCCCCTCCCTCCCTGTTTCCTTCTCCCCCCTCCCTCCCTCTTTTTCCCCCTCCCTCCGTTTCTTTCTTCCCCCTCCCTCCGTTTCCTTCTCCCCCCTCCCTCCTTCCCTGTTTCCTTCTCCCCCTCCCTCCCTGTTTCCTTCTCCCCCTCCCTCCCTCTTTCTTCCCCCTCCCTCCCTGTTTCTTTCCCCTCCCTCCCTCCCTGTTTCTTTCTTCCCCCTCCCTCTGTTTCCTTCTCCCCCTCCCTCCCTGTTTCCTTCTCCCCCTCCCTCCCTGTTTCTTTCTCCCCCTCCCTCCCTCCCTGTTTCTTTCTCCCCCTCTCTCCCTCCCTGTTTCTTTCTCCCCCTCTCTCCCTCCCTGTTTCTTTCTCCCCCTCCCTCCCTCTGTTTCTTTCTTCTCCCCCTCCCTCTTTTTTTTCTTCTCCCCCTCCCTCTCTCTCTGTTTCTTTCTTCTCCCCTCCCTCCTTCTCTGTTTCTTTCTTCTCCCCTCCCTCCTTCTCTGTTTCTTTCTGTTTCTTTCTTCTCCCCCCTCCCTCCCTGTTTCTTTCTTCTCCCCCTCCCTCCCTCTCTTTTTTTTTCTCCCTCCCTCCTCTCCCCCCCTCTCTTTTTTCTTCTCCCTCCTCTTCTCTTCCCTCCTCCCTCTCTTTCTTCCCTCCCTCCCTCTCTCTTCTCCCCCCCCTCCCTCCCTCCTCTCTCTTCTTTTTTTCTCCCCCCTCCCTCCCTTCCTCCCTCTTTTCTTCTCCCTCCCTCTTTCCTCCCCCTCCCTCCCCTACCTGTGTGGTAGTGTGGCCGAGCCCAGTATAGTCCGACCGGTACAGGGAGCTGTTGTTTCCTGTACCCGGCCGGACTAACAGGAAGTGAACACTCAGTGTTCACTTCCTGTTAGTCCGGCCGGGTACAGGAGACAGCTGCTCTCTGTACCGGTCGGACCATGCCATACAGGGCTCGGCCACGCTACAGTGAGGGAGCTGACAGGAGTGAGCGCTGAGCGCTTCCCTCCTGTCAGCCTCTCCTCAGGCTGCGCCCGGGCGGTGCGGTCCGCCCTCATGGACGCACCGCCCGGGCAAAGTGCAGCCGCCTGAGGCTCAATACAGAGCGCTCGGGCGGCTGCAGCATGAGCGGGGCCGGCGCTCCTGGCGGCGCCCCCTCCCAAGGGGCGCCCTAGGCGGCTGCCTAGTCCGCCTTACAGGTAGCGCCGGCCCTGAGGGTTGGCTTCTGTGAAGGTCGCTGCTGTAGGATGTTTTGTTATGTAGCGTTGGATCAGCAGTGCCTGGCTCATGTTTCAGGTCATTGGTCAGGGGGATGATAGGGTAGGGGAGGTGGGTTTGTAGGGGGTGGTGGAGGGGAGAAGGGGGGAAGGTGATGGGAGGCTGCCCTCTTGGTTACCCCCTGGGACTCAGAGTAGGTGGGTTGGGTTAGGGGTTGGATAGATGAGCGACATGTTTGTCTCTTGTTATGGGTTGATGCTGGCGGTGTGGGTTGTGTGGTAGCTGTGGATCACCATGGGAGTGCATTGTGTCCTTCCAGCCATGGGTCCCATACTTTGTGAAATGATTTTGGGGTGTCATGAACTTGCACTGTCAGCTTGTCCATGGCTATGTTGTCAGTTATTTTAGTGTTTATTTGGAGTTGAGTGGGTATGTGTGGTGTGGACCAGGTTTCAGCTATTGCTCTGCGTGTGGCCAGTGCTATTCTAGCAATGAGTTTGTTTTCATTGCAGGTGAAGGTGTCAATGGGTTTAGAGAGTAGGAGAGCCCAGGGGTCCGGGGGTACTGGTTTGTTAAGTATTCTAGTTAAGAGTGTTGTGATTGTTTTCCATAGAGGAGTGAGTTTGGGGCATGTCCACCAGCAGTGGAGGAAAGTGCCGGTTTCGCCACACATTTTCCAGCAGAGGTTATTGGGTATTTGGTTCATTGCCTTTAGGCGGAGGGGGGTTAGGTACCACCTGAAGAGCATTTTATAAGCTTGCTCTTTATGGGTGACGCAGATTGAGATGGAGTTGATGGATGCCCATATGTCTGCCCAATTGGTGGGATCTTCAAGGGGCCCCAGATCTCCCTCCCATGCTGCGATGTATGGGAGGGCCACCTGAGTGTGGTGTGTGGTTAATGTTATGTATAGGTTTGATATTTGGCTCTTTTTGGCTGGTGAGCGTAGGGTGTCCCTCTCGAACCCAGTCAGGGTCGGGTGGCTGCCATGCGAACCGTGTCCGTTGCTGCGAAGCTTCGGAGTTAGAGGTATTGGAAGTAGTCGTAGGTGGTTAGGGATTCGGGGTTGGGGATTTCCGAGTATTGTAGGAGCTTGCTGTTGGGATAGAGGTATCCAATTCTAACTATGTCTCTGTCTTCGAAGTGGGCATAGTGTCGTGGTGTGAGGCCTGGTGGGAACATTTTGTTGCGGAGGATCGGTGTGAAGGGTGATAGGCCCGTGGAGAGGTCGAACTTATCGCTGAGGCGATCCCAGAGATCTAGGGAGTGGGTGATCGTTGGTGATGTGGGAGGTGGTAGCGGTCTGTGTGGTTTTGGGATCCACATGTATTGAGAGGGATGGTCCCTACCGAAGATGAGGTGTTCCAGGTCTACCCATCGTTTGTGAGCGTGGGGGAGGTGCCAGTGTTGTATTTGTGTGGATCTGCGGACTTGGGGTCTCTTTCCATTCCAGATGAATCGATCTATGGCTGTTTGCAAGCGTTTGAGGTCGTTTTTTTTGCAGGGGATGGGTAGCGCTTGGAAGGCATAGAGGAATTTGGGTAGGAGATTCATTTTGATCGACGCTATTCTTCCGAGCCAGGAGATGGTCATCGGTTTCCAGCATTCTAGGTCCATGTATGCTTTATGCGGGGGGGGGTAGATGGCTGTGTAGAGAGTGGTGGTATCGTTGGTAATTTGGATGCCTAGGTATGTGATTGCCGTTGGGCAGATATGGAAGAGAAAGTTACTTCTCAAGGTGGAGGTAGTGGGGTCATTGATGTTAAGCGGCATGAGGTCTGATTTTGTGGCATTTAGTTGGTATCCCGAAATTGTTGAGTAATCTTGGAGGGTTGACATGAGGGCCTTTAAGGTTGGGATGGGGCTAGTTAGGGTCAGGAGGATGCCATCTGCATATGCAGCGACGGTGAATGTTTTGTCCCTTATCCTGAGTCCTTCTATTTGTGGGTTGTTCCGTATGGTCTCTAGGAGGGGTTCGAGGGAAATGGTGAATAGGAGGGGGGGAGGGGGCATCCTTGACGGGTGCCGTTTAGTATCGGGAAGGAGGGGGGTGTGATGTTGGGGATTAGTAGTTGTGCAGTCGGTGTGTGATACATTTGCTTTCAGAAATTGAGTGAATTCTGGTGGGAATCCAAATTTGTGGAGTACTGCGTAAAGGTAGGGCCAGAAGAGGCGATCAAACGCCTTTTTGGCATCCAGGGAAAGTATTATCACTGGGAGGCGTTTTTGGTTGGTGTACCAAATTAGGTCTATGGTTCTCCGTGTGTTGTCTTGTGCTTGTCTTTGTGGTATAAAGCCTACCTGGTCCGGATTAATAAGTTTCGGTAGGAAGGGGTTAAGTTTAGTTGTCATTACTTTGGTCAGTATTTTTAGGTCAATGTTTAGGAGGGAAATGGGGCGGTAGTGGCCTGGTTCGTCGTGGGATTTTCCTGGCTTGGGTAAGAGGGTGATGTTGGCTTGTGTCATATCGGCGGGTAGTGGGTCTCCTTTTAGCATTGCATTAAAGACTTTGCATAGTCTGGGAGTAAGTATGTCTCCGAAGGATTTATAATAAATGGCCGTTAACCCGTCGGGGCCCTGGCTTTTGTTAGGTTTCAGGGTTTTTATTGCTGCCAATATTTCCTCTGGGGAGATGTCTGCTGCGATCATTGATCTGGCTTCTTTGGTGAGGGAGAGCTTCCTAAGGAAGTTATCCGTTTGGGATTGGATTAAGTCAGCTGGGGGGTCTGGGGTATGGTTGTATAGAGATGTGAAGTAGTGTCGGAAGGCTTCACCTATCGTGTGTGGGGTGTCACTCATTGTGCCGTCTGAGATGCGAATTTTGGAGATTCGTTTTGTTTCAGTCAGGTTTTTGAGGCGTTTTGCTAACATAGAGTCTGCCTTGTTGCTTTTCTCGTAGTATTTTTGTTTGGTCCATGTTAGTGCTTTAGTTGTGGCTGTGAGAGAGAGGCTTTTGAGTAAGGACCTGGCTGTTGTGAACTGTTCAAGGTGTAAGGGGGTCGGGTTGCGTTTGTGTAGGGTTTCCAGTCGGCCTATTTCGGTTATGGTTTCCATTAATAGTTTGTTGTGTTGCTTTTTGTGTGCTGTCGCTATAGCTATCAATTTGCCTCTTATAACCAGTTTGTGGGCCAACCACAAAGTGATTGGGGAGGATACAGATGGGTCGTTCAGGGTGAAGTACTCTTTGATGTCTTTTGTGATGGATATGGTCACTAGTTTGTCTTGGAGAAGTTGTGAGTTGAGTTTCCATGTCCATGGGCGTGTCATGTTGGGGATGGAGAGGGTTAGGGAGATGTCGGCATGGTCCGACCAGGTGATATGGCCTATGGAGGTGTGTGTGATTCGCGAGGTAACGTTTGGGGAGACCAGAAAGTAGTCGATGCGGGAGTAGGTGTAGTGGGGGTGGGTGTAGTATGTGTAGTCGAGGGTGGAAGGGTGTTGGGCTCTCCAGATGTCTAGTAGGTTGTGTGTGCTTAGGACGTTGGAGAAGAGGGTGTCGTTTGGAGAGGGTCGCGGTTCGCTTTGGGGCCTAGCAGTGCGATCTAAGGTTGGTTGGTGAGTGGCATTGCAATCGCCTCCTATGATAGGGGGGGTACTGTTTTACACGTGAGACTTTGCTGAATACAAATATGTGTATTTTATTGCAGTAAAAGCAAACAGTATTATGACATTCACAGTTAGAATGTCAGGTAGAACTAAAAGATTTTTAAAAAATTCTTATTTTCTCCCATTTTTTTAATATTTTATTCATATTAAGTTATGTTTCATAGCTAAATATTTGATGTTAAATGAAAGCCCTGTTTCCCCTGAATAAAATGATATATAATAAGGGTGGTGCATTTAATATGAAAGAGGTGAATTACGGTTGGACAGACATGTAGCGCAAATGCCAGGTTTTGTTTACATTTTGTTTCATTCACAACGTGTACATTTGGCTCCGTCCTTAAGGGGTTAATTGATTTAAGTTAACTAGTCCAAATCTCTTGATCGGGCTGTCTCATTTCCTAGTTGTGGTATTTATATTTGATTGCACCTGTGATGTACTTCATCTATCTTTACAATATGACACACAGTTTTGGGACACTGGATATGGGTATATACATACTAGCATTAATTCTGATTGCTAGTTATATTATGCTTTTGTTATTTATTTTCTACATCATATTGATATTTGATAATATATGCCTGTATGTTCCAATCCTGATCCTGAATGTTATATTAATAATATATGCCTGTATGTTCCACTCCTGATCTTGAATGTTATATGTAGGATTGCTGTGTACAGGCATACCCCACTTTTAAGTACCAGGACCAGAGCATGTATGTAAAACGAAAATGTACTTAAAGTGAAGCAATCCCTTTTTCACTTCCCAATGCATGTACTGCATTGCAATAGTACTTTACAGGTATAACTGATACTGCAACTGCCAATTTCCAGTGTGCTTTTATTCGGTTAGAACAAACAGTAAAAAAAAAAAAAAAAATCTCATTCCAGATTGTACCATTTATCTTGAATGTTTTACTCATCTGACAATCTTAAACTGGGAGGAAAAGTAAAATAAACCTGCCCACTGGGCCATTTTCTGTTAATACAGTGCCAATTTGTATTTATTAGCAGCTTAGTTGCATACTTTGTTTAGAAACACCTCTTCAGCATTTATGGTTTAACTTTGAATCCTCAGAATTGTGGCTAATGCATCTAAGCTGCTAAGTCATAGTTATAGAAAATGCCAGGGTAAACCCTTTCACTGGATGGCACCGATTACAGAATATGGACAATGTAGGGGCAGAAAAAAAATCTATATATGTTCAGCTAGGAGAAGGCATTATAAATTTGTCCTAACATGTGGTTTACAGATCCTAACCAAACTCATAAAACAAAAACAGGTGTGAAAAGTTCCTGCCCCAATGACACTGAATGGAGCTGCTCCGGGCGAGAATAGAACCTTCTATTTCCTGTTCCCTCTCTGACAGAAGAGGCGCGGGAATGTCTGTACTTGCGAGGCACCTTTACGTACACTCGCAGTTATGTCCTTACTCGCAAGTGTATGTAAACTGGGGTATGTCTGTATATGTTATTGCTTTTGGTTTCCTTGGTAATCCTGGGTGGCCACCCATTTACTTCAGGTGTTTAAAGGCATTTTGCCGAAATGTTGGGGGCTTTTTGATTGACTCTGTCCCTGCTTCTCACTAGGTCTGGTATGCTTTTTGTATTTTTTCTACATGTATTTGTTTTTTGTGGGGTTGGATTGTATTGGTATCTCATTTAGTTACTTATGATACTGATATTTTGCTATTCATACATTACGCAATTGGCGTTTATATATATATCCAGAATTTCTCTGGCTGTTGCTTTACAACATGATATGATTTTGTATTTTGGTTTCATATTTAATGAGATATTCTATTAGTGTACCCCTTTAATGAAGATTTTTTCATATATAAACATTTATGGCTGTGCTCCTTACTCAATTTGTATTAGAGTTGGAGGATGCCATGCTTGCCCGGTGCAACTCTGTAGTCACCTCCTCCTAGGTCAGTTGCATCAACTTTGCTGATGGATTGGCTCAGAGGTAAGCCAACCCCTCCAACACTTGCTCCTGGAATTTCTCCCCAGACAAGGATGATAGCTCTATTCCTCTCTCTGGGTTCCACAAGATGTGCAGGGGTCCCAATGATGGTTCTCCAATAGCTAGGATGCAGTCCTACCACTGGCACCAGGTTATACTGGGATCCCTGTACAAATTAGACACAGAACACACAATTCCAAAAGGAACTAACAAACTAAGCTTGGTT